CCTCTTGATTATGTTTTGATATCTGTATGAATTCAATTTGGAATGACAACTAATGGTTAAGAAAGAACAAAGTAAATATATTTTCACTGCTTTTACACAGAATAGTCATGTGAATATCTTTTTACCTTTGAGAAATTAGCTTTTATAACAATTTTTAAAATATATTTATAACGATGAAAATAGTAATAACATATTATATGGTATAATATACAATGCAAAACGTTCTACGCATGAATGCGCTACCCGACAGGGTAACAAGTCGTTCGTTTGGCACTTTATTTTATTTACTTTAAAAGAATAATTATTAAAGATTGAAATACAAAAAATCATTAATTGAACTGCCAAACGTTCTACGCACAAACATCTGCTACCTGACGGGATGGCAGTAAATTTTATTACCCTTTGAAAACATCATTCATTCAATAAAAACAATTCATAAAATCAAATGAAGACCGCCACAGCATACCCATCCACGTTATGGCTATCCAGACAGGGAGAGAGAGTTTCCACGATTTATCATCTTGGTACGCGTGCAAGAGAGGCGCGGATAAAAAACGAAAGTTGATATAGTTCTTTGAATTCACATTTTCTTTTCTTACATAATAGTAAAACGATTCCACATTACAAAATTTTAGTTTCCTGTGAGCTGTAATCAATTTTGCAACTCTTGCACAAAATAAATCACCGTTTTACTTCTACGTACACTTGTTCGTAAATTCGCTCCTGTATGTTTCAGAGAGCCATGGTGGCTAAGTGGGTAAGATAAAAATCAAGACGCTGGCTCGCTAGACAGGGAGGAGGTCGCGTGTTCGATCCATGCATAGGTCGAGAAAGTTCATCTGGATTTTCGGGCGTGATTCCCCCTTGTCTGTGGTGAAGGACGGCTGTCTTGTCGTTCGGGGCGACAAAAAACCAAGATCCTGTGCATACATTGGCGTGCACGTAAAAGGTCAATTGGCAGTTGGAATTCAATATAAGAGTAGGCCATAGTACCGCCACACTGTATGGCATATGACAGTCTTCATAAGCGCAGGACATTAAGCCTCATTTCCTTTCTTGCGTTTTCATTGTTGTGACAATCTTTTCCTCGTAAAGATTACCATCGTCGGAGCAATGGCCGCGCTCTATCTCATCTCTATTCCTGTTAACTAAACCACAAAATTTTAAGATAACCGTCAACCAGTGGGTTTGGAATATTGAAACGTAAAGCATGTTCAATACTAAGATTAAGATAAAGAGCTGGCCATTCTTACTATATTTCAAAAATAGATAATGCAGAGGGCCGACCGATCAGTCTACTTAAGTAATATTTGGCATCGTTGTGAAGCCGTGAATCTCTAGTTTATGAATTACCGATAATCCCAATTTTAACGAATACAAACGAGTTTTAAAACCTGTACAGTACATGTACTTTAAAATGTTCGGTCCAGACACCCGGCGCGGCCCATTGTGGTATCATGGCTACGTTCATTACCCTATCTGGGGTTCGGATTCTGATACCATTCCGGTACCTGAAAATAAAAGTAGACCTATCGTACACGCAAAACCTTATTTTAATTGAGTCATGTTACGAAGGTCACAGAAGATACGTTTAGCTCGATTACCCAATCAACATTCTTAATCTCCTGAGATTAAAAAAAAATTATTCTCATAAAAGTTTAATATACAAGACCGACATTACTAATGTATGGACTGTTCTCTTTCGTTCTAAATTTTAACACCAAGAGAAATATTAAACAAAAATTAACAAATATATGGCGTGGTTGCTATGTGATTTTTTTTAGAACATGCTTTTCCTCAAACAACCTCAAACGGATATAGCTCAGTCAATTTTATAGTTTAATATTAGTTATCTTTTTAAATAAAGCAACCGAACTTCAGTTGCCTTGACACCAAAATATTTGCAATATGAACCCTATCAGTTATCTTTGTAAATAAAGCAATCAAACTGCAGTCACCTTGACACGGACAATTATTTTTGAAATGGTCGGGTTGACGTTTGAATTATATTGGTTGTTTTTTTTTTAAAACAGGAATCGGTTTGTAATATGTTGCAAATCTGAAGATACCAATAATAATGTACATGTATATAGACATTCACACGATTGTTCAGTGATCAGAATTTCAGCTTGTATGTACGTATATGAAATTCATTATTTCTGTTATCTGCTATCATATTATCTGTTTCAATAAAATTAGAGAAAACAGATTGGTGTTGATCTTTTTTTAACCATGATTCCAAATTTAATCCATACAATGATTCCAAATTTAATCCATACATTGATTCCAAATTTAATCCATACAGAAATCAAAGTGCCGCAAGTCCCAAAACATGTGCCAATCCGCATGTTATATAACGAGAATAAATATAAATATAAATTAAATAACACTACCCATTGCGCCGTATTCTGCAGACTAGGGCGGTAATCGAAATCGCCGACAAATATTCCGATTGTTGAATGCCATCTATTATTGTTTAAAAACATTTCCCGATTCGAGAATATTAGTAAATAATTAATTAATAATTTATAAGCGACGATACTCACTAACAATACTCACCATAAATTTATATAATTAACAATTTCACGCTCTACTGGCGTCGGGTCCAGTTACTGACGCACATCAAAGATAACTGGCGGTTTCATTCTGATAGTGACGTAGACCTCAAATAGTGACGGTTTCTTAATTAGTCACGCTTTCGTCAATTTCTCCCGCATGCGCCTGACTAGTGATATGATCGGCTTAACTCACGTTTGTTTAATTACTCACGTTATTTTTACATACTGGCACAAGTAAGGAATACTAACCAATTGACTTAAATACTCACCTTTTGATTATTACTGACCATTTATAGGAATACTGACGTACGGTACAAATACTGACGGGTTTTAGCGACTACTGACAACACGTATATTTCTCACGAATTTCCATGAATAGTAACCACAATGAACCCTTTCTACTTCATATATAGATATTCTAACACATAGGCCAGTTAATCAATACTTAGAGATAGGTTCTACACACTATGCATGTTACCGTGTAATATGTTCCCATTTGAATATTGTTCACAATAAGAAGCAAAATAAATAAGATATGTTTACAGGATCATTTTGTTATACGAAAAACTAAGTGATGCGTTTTCCATGGCGCTCAGTATATAATAATTTTGTGTTATGCGTACCATTTAACAATTAGGCCTAGATAGGGGCCTATATATATTTTATAATTGTCTTTTATGAATTTGAAAAGAAATCCTTTGTCTTAGATACCCATACTAGGCCTAGCTCACAGAATAGATCGATAGCGGCCTAAATCTATAGGCCTACTCGTGTCGTGTTTGGTTAATGATTGTTTAAAAGAATCCATATCTAAGTCAAAAGAACGTTTGAATTTCAATTTGACACAAACACAATATTACTGATAGATAATTCAGGAAAGTTAAAATATAAATTGTAATGTAGATAATAATAAAACTAACCATTCATTGCCTGGAATCCAGACGATCGTAGTTGCGTGGCTGTTCAAGCCGTTGATACAGTCGTCTTTGTCTGACTCATCCCAGTCTGCACAAGGCTAAAATTGATATGGATGAACCCTGCCGTCGTCCACAATGACATCTCTTTCGGAATCCTCAAACGACGATTAATTATACGACAAATTTAACTCACCTAGAACTCCTCTGTATTTTATGCACTATCCAAACGAACACGTTGTCGCCATTTTGTTTATATTGGTCTCACACCTGTGACGTCACAAAATATTTCAGGGAATTACCGGAAGTCAACTCTTACGCAAATTGGATTTCACCAGGCAGGTGCAAAGGGGGTTTTCCAATCTAAATATATCGATAACGGAATGTCCGATTTTCGTCAATTTTGTTTTATTTAGAAGTTTTAGCTTTATTCCTAGTCATTTAAAGAAAAATATTCTAGTCTCAGGTTTATCTTTAAACTCTGTGTATCAATCTGAAGTCAATCAGATGATAACTTTAGCATCTAGAGTGTCACAAGAATTTTCAAAGTGATCAAGGGCCATAACTTTGGCAGTAATTACCGGAAATTGTTGAAAATCAATAGGATTCTTTGTCTCATGACCTCAAACACTGTGTATACATTTAAAGTCAATCAGATATTAACTTTAGCCTCTAGAGCATCCACAAGATTTTTTGAAGTGATTAAGGGCCATAACTCTGGAAGTAATTATCAAAAATCGCTGAAAATGAATAGACTTCATCATCTCATGACCTTAAACACTGTATGAATCTAAAGTCAATCGGGCATCAACTTTAGCCTCTAGAGCGTCCACAAGATTTTTCAAAGTGATCAAGGGCCATAACTCTGGCAGTAATTATAGGAAATCACTGATAATCAATAGGCTCCTTCGTCTTATGACTTTAAACACTGTGTTTAAATTTAAAGTCAATCGGATATTATCTTTGGCCTCTAGAGCGTCCACAAGATTTTTTGATGTGATCAAGGGCCATAACTCTGGCAGTAATTATCAGAAATCGCTGAAAATCATTAGGCTTCTTCGTCTCATGTATATAAATTTAAAATCAATCGGATATTAACTTTAGCCTCTAGAGCAGCCACAAGCAATTGTGGACGCCGGACCGCCGGGGGCGATGACAATACATGACCACATTTCAATGAGGGCGTATAAAAATTTTGATGCCTAGAGGGTCCACAAGAGAAAAACTGTTATATTTCATAAAACCAAAAGCAATAATCTAGGAATTTACAGTCCGATACATGCCAAAAAGGAACCCATTTGAGATCTGTGGGATAAAAACATATTTTAAGTTTCATCAAAATCAGGTGAAATTTGTGACCTTTTGAGTGTACAGAAACAAATATAAATAGACAAACGACAAGGGCGCTGGCATAATACGTCCACATGAAAATGTGTTGATATACAATATTGTGATTACCTCTAAAGTGATTACAATATTTTAATGAAATGAACTAGAGGATTAAGAACAAAATTTGTGTTGTACTTACATACTATAATTGTAGTCCACCAAGGAAGGTTGAATGTACAATGAATAACATCTAAACACTGTTGTACTAATCCTGGTGGATACCAGCCTCCTAATCCCTGGCTTGCTAAAGATGCTTCACCCAAAGAATTAAGAGCTTCAACAAGTTGTTGTGGTTCTGGTACTTGAGGTGGTTCAGGTAAATAATCTACTTTTCCATTTGACACCTAACAACAATATAATGTTATTAAAAGCTGATTAAAATCCTGGCCTTTATTATGTTGACAGCATTACAAGCATCGTTGACACATTTCAGCAAAAAGGGGCATAACTCTAACAATATTAATCAGATTTTGATGAAAATAAAGAAATAGGGATTCTCAATTATCATATTACAAACTTAATGAAAATAACAGATAAATGTGATCAAAATTCTGGCCTCTATTGTGCTGAATAGCATTCTACAACTATGTCTGTGATTCTCCCAAAACGGCAAATGGCGAACGCCAAAACATAGGTATAATGCTACTTGATGATAGGGATTCCTTTATATCCCGCACATTTTTTATTCTGCTGTAAAAATCAGAACTACTGGAAAATTTACTACGAAACGAAGAAATGCCATGTGCTGATAAAATGAGAAGGCATATTGAAATGCCATTTAATGACAGATCTTCTATTCAATTAGTTCATTAAATATTCGCTTTATGTGTTAATAATTCTACGCTGATGAAATAATTATTATTTAAAGATGGGTTCCCAGAAAAGTGTTTATAGGGTGGCAATTTTGGAATATATGGAAAGTAGAGATATCCAATCTTACTAGAAAAATACTGGATTCCCCGAAAAACACTCATGGAGCATATACAGGACAAAAATGTAAGGGTTCCTCTAATCGACATTTATACTTATTGTTTCAATAGATTCTAATACACCCTTTTGCAGTTAATATGAAAGCTTTGATATCTGCTATGCAGATTTAGTTATTATTTTTTTTTTTTTGGTGTATTTCCTGCAAATCGGATTTCTAAAAATCTAACCATAGGAATTAGGATCTTTCTAAAACTTTGACCTACCCACCAAAAAATGGGTGGCAGCTTTTTATTAAATACATTTTCAAAATGGTTTACGAATCCGAAATCAACGAAATTTACGAACGAAGAAATTGACCTAGATACCTATAACTTTGTGATTATTTGACCTATTTAACTAATTCTTTTTTCTTTGAGTACCTTGAAATATTTACTTCCAATCTGCTATTTCTGATTTTCGAAAATCACGTCATTGACATTCCGTCGCGGAAGTAAAAGGAAACTGACAACTTCTTTAATATTAGTATGATTTTCATCAAATTTGGAATGTATGTAGACCCCATTGACTCAACTTCAACGATACTATTAGATATGTCCTAACTTATCTCCCCTTGGAGAAATTAAGGATCAAAGTTTTCAAAAAAATGGACAAAATGTAGGTCAGATTGCCTTGAAATTTTTTTTTCTGTACTAGCTGAGGAATTACTGATGGGTGCGTAAAATATGAAGTCTATCGATAACACCGGAAGTGCCACTATCTTGACACGTGAAAAATCCTTAAGGCTTTCAAGATATTTTACTTACAGACATGGGAGAGACATTTTCTGAAACCTTGAAGGAATGCCTAAAAAACGTTCAGAGCAGAATTTTGATTTAGGTCAACTGATGGTCACTCTTTTGAAGTAAATATGAAATTGAAAAATAGTGAAAAACCTACATTAACAGGCTTGTAAATTAACACAATAGACCGTAGTATGTTCAATGCATCTCCTATTTCTGAAATTAATACATTTCAAGAAAGCCTGGCTCATGGTCGAACTTTTGGTATTTGAATATTTCAAAAATTCGAATTTCGCCTTCGACGTTTCTCGTGCTGACAAAGTTGTTTACGAGTGAAAAATTCCCATTAACGGCTTGAAAATAATCAAAATCAGCCGGCGTTTCGTGAATTTGTCTCCTATTTCCGAAATTAATACATTTCAGGTTATCCTCCTTCAAAGAATGGGTGGTGGCTTTGGAATCAATATATTTTCAAAACATTTTACGAATCCGAAATCACTGAAATTTACTGATGAAAAAATTGACCTACACAGCTGTAACTTTGTGACTTTGTGATCTATTTTATTTATTCTTTTTTCTTTGAGTACCTTAAAACATTTACTTTAAATCTGCTATTTCCGATTTTCAAAATTCGAATATTACGTAATTGACATCTCATCCCAGAAGTAAAACCAACATGACAACTTGAATATTAGTACGATTTTCATGAAATTAGGAATGTAAGTAGACCTGATTGATCCAACTTCAACGAAGTCATTAGAAATTTTCTAAGTTATCTCCCCTTGAAGAAAGTAAGGATCAAAGTTTTCAAAAAAATCGACAAAATATAGGTCCGATTGCCTTGGAAATTTATTCTATACTAGCTAAGAAATTACTAATGCGTACACAAAATATGAAGTCTATCGATGAACCGGAAGTGCCACCATCTTGAAATGTGAAAAATCCCCAAGGCTTTTGCAATATTTTACTTACAGACATTGGAGTTTCATTTTCTGAATCCTTGAGAGAGATGAAACTCTTAATATAGATTCATTATATTATTACCTTGAATAAGTTCGATGGTGATAATTTTCGGCTTAGGCTAAAAAGAGGGAGAGAGAAGAGAGAGAGAAAGAAATGGGGTTTAACGGCCCCTCGACACAAACTAGGCCATTTTGGGACTAACATATGGTTTAATTTTATTTCAATAATTTTGATCAATATTGAAACAATACGTATAAATGTCATCAGGTATCTGAAAAATTACATTTACCTTATGAACAAGATGGGAAAAATACGAAACAAAAATTGTCGTGTTGTGGCTACCCTCAAGGCATATTTAGAAAACAGTATATTATAATATACAGAGTATGTTAACTCTTCAATAGACCTTTTAGTAGTTTCGCGTACGCAAGACAGGAAGTAGTTGTGCTTCAATGTAAACAGGCCTGTTCCTTGCATTTGGTTTTAGAGATAGGTGTGATTTTCAAAGGATTCAATCAGAAATCGCTGAAAATCAATAAACTTCTTCGTCTCATGTATAAATCTAAAGTCAATCAAACATTACCTTTAGCCTGTTGAGAATTTTCAAAGTGGTCAAGGGTCATAACTCTGGCAGTAATTATCGGAAATTATTGAAAATAACTAGGCTTCTTCCTCTTGTGACCTTAAACACTGTGTATCAATTTAAAGTTAATCGGTTATTAACTTTAGCCTCTAGAGCGTCCAAACGATATTTCAAAGAGATCAAGGGCCATAACTCTGGCACTGCCAGTGTTGGCCGAGAAAGTTCATCAGTATCTTCCGGCGTGGTTTCTCCTTGTTGGTAGTGCAGAAAGAAGGGCCTGACAAGGACAGCTGTCTAGTTGTCTAGTTGTCTGGATGGCACGTATAAGATCCATTGGCAGTTGGAATTCGATATAAGAGTAGGTTGTAGCGCCACTTTACGAGCAAAATCTCCCTCATAGCACAATGCATGACACATGCTTGTCTTCATGAGCCCAGTTGGAGCAGAACAGTAGGACGTTAAACCCCATTTCATTTCATTTTCGATACACTTATGACAATTTTAAAAGAACCATTATGCTGGATTCCAGACAAATGGCCGTTACAACTAATGTAACATGGTGGTGATGGGGGAGCTGGGGCATTTATATTGGCAGTGATATATATATATATATCTGATTTCCGCATTAAGGCAACCACACTATATTTTCCACCTTAGGGGGACAATTTGCATAATCTAGTTTTCCATTTTTTATAGCAGAAAATGCTTTTTGGGGTACTGTACCCTTTGTTTTACAATTTCCTGAAGTTTTGTTATTTTTGCATAATATACGCATTAAGGCGACCTTATGTATATGTTTGCATAATATACGCATTAAGGCGACTTTTTATATATTTTTGCATAATATACTCATTAAGGGGACATATGTATATTTTTGCATAATTTACGCATTAAGGCGTCCTTATGTATATTTTTTTTATATTTTGTGACCCTCGCGGCAACATGAGTCGGAATGCGAAGCAAGTGAAAATATTGATTTTGGTCGAAATTGAGATTTTCACAAAAATGACTCTATAAATGAGAGTCTATAAACGAGTCAATAGACCAAAAAGATCAAAATAGCCATAAACCATTTTAAAACACTTTTATTTGAGCATTTTATTAGAGTACCATATTCATAAATCTTTCTTTTTTCGTAAAGTTCCAGCGAAATTAGTTATTTTTCGATGCACGCAGCGTGTGGTGAAGTCGTTAACTTCTAGATGATATGACCAGAGTATTACCGATAATCCCATGTTCAATGAATACAAATGAGTTTCAAAACCCATACAATATACCTGACTCCACCGTGACAGAATTACATGGTACCCCTTATAGGAATATACTCGATGGACTCTTTACATCAGATGCATTTTATGAAATAAGGTCTATAACATTATATATGACAGAATTACCCACTTTGACATTACCCAAATGCAAACTATGTATTTTTCATAAAATCTGTGAATCAAGACATCTGTGGGCATCTTAGAATATTCAAAATATGTCTAGCCCTGACAATAGAAAAAACATTTTTATAAACAAATCATCCCTAAGAAGTGTGCTTCGTTGCGCAAAACATGCGTGACAGAATTACCTTTCAAATTGTGCTGGAATTACAGTGCAGAAATTACGGCACACAAGGGTGTTCTTGTCATGATTTAAAGGGACAATAACACTCTTGCTGGCTTGACAGCTTCAGAAAATAAATAATAGCCTTATTCTAAGTATTAGATGTTGTGTAAATTATCCATTACATCCTATTTTAATTGTCCAGAGGGTTCGAAAATATTTTTAAATCAAAGTTTCATTTGAAAAGGTTTACGTTAGACGTTTTAAACCATTATGTTGAATTTTTCAAAATTATTAAATAAGGTGTGTTAAGATGAAATTTGTATCATCAATTAATTGAAATATTCTAAAATAGTACAATTTGTTGACCAGAATAAAGATTGGGACATATTATTCAGTTATAACAAGAGTGGTATTGAGCCTTTAAGTTATTGCTGGCTAAGAAAGCTTCTCGATTTGATATAGGATCATCACTCGACGTTGCTTCCGATGCGTGGATTGGATCTCGCCTAGCTATATACATGTGAAATTTTCTGCA